CCATTTGTTAGAGAGGATTAGACCAGTTGGCCAGATGTCTCTTGTGGTGAGCTGTTTATGATGGTAGATGTCTGTGTTTTGAATACCAGATCTCAGTGCTTTAACACTAAACTTACTGAGAGCCCAAGTATGATTTTTTTCCTCTCAGTACAGCTTTAAAAATATATAAAATGCAAAAATTTAATAAATCATAAATGATAGAAATGGAAGGAATAGTCTTTTTTAAAAGGGAATCAAAGTAAACAATGCCACTCCTCAGAGAAATAGACTGTCAAAGGAAACGTTGATTATAATTATGCTCTTACAGCAAAATGGCTGTGAACAGTATGATTTAAAAAGCATTACCATTTAGGTGGTGAGGAGTCTTTCAACTAAGCAATGGCACCCAGTGGTATCATTATCATTAATTCAGCTGATAATTGCCACATCAGTTGATAATTACCACAGCTGCAAATCTAATAGTCATATATATTTAAATTTTGTGACTAGCTTTTCTTTGGTCTGAAAATCGACTTGACCATCTAATGCTAAATAGCCTTCAAAGTTAAAGTGAAGTATATAGGTATTACAGATCTACATAATCTCTGGTGGTATTCATTTTCTCTTCCATTCAGTCTGTCAACCCTTTGATGACATTACCCATAAGCAGGGTACCACCTAGATTCATTATGATGCTTCATAGGGTGGTTATGGTGGGAAATATAGGGAGCTAATCATTGTGTTGATATGCACTGTACATAATCACTAATGGGTGTAACTGTATTCTAATGGGGTTATTTTGGATGACTTCGCCCAAAGACTATGTTCAAAGATCGTCTCAATTCATTTTTCTGGAAAGGGAGAATTAACTTTTTTGACTCCAGAAGCAGCACCCTTTAGTGTTTTATGTTTTAGTTTGTCCCTTCAATCAGTAGTAGGTCCTGCTTACTCTGCCAGATTCTTTGTTAGGTTCTGTAGCACAGTGATTTCAGACCTGGCCATCATCAGAATCACCTGGGAGCTTTTAAGAAAATACTTGCTTGGACCACATCCTAGAAATTTTGATCCTGGCTATTTGGAGTGGGACCAGGAATTTGCATTTTAAGAAACACCTAAGCAATTCTGTTGCCCATCACTTTTGAGATGATTAAGTTACAGTCCCTTCCAGGGTTCTTTGTCTAACAGAATAGATAGGTCAAATTATTTCAGAATAGAGTAGATGAGTTTTGTGAAAGGTAAGTTGTTTAGCTATCTAAGTTTTTTGACTCAGGTCTTAACCCCAGAGTCCCCAACTTAGTTACCTCCGCGGTTAGCTACCTGCTCATTTTATATCTTGCATTTTGAGATCCAGTTTAAATGTTAGGCACTGTTTCACCAGCACTATTCCATGTAATCCTCACAGTAGTAATGTAAGATGTAAGAACTATTACTATCTCTACGCTTTAAAGTGTGTCTATAGTAAGAGTAATTAGAATGTGTAGCTGTAAATATTGCAGGGCTGAGACCTGAACCCAGTCGTTCTGACTGCAAAACCCGTGTTCTGTGCTGTATAGGTGGCCTCTGGCATCTTGTACAAGATATGTAGGCTGAGTGTTACGGTCTTCAAACCATGATCCTTGGAAAGCAGGCCACATAATACTTTCTGAAGTGACATCAAAGAAAGCTATCTAAAGTGTTAATTGTTTAGCCTCATTACCCAGTCTTCTGCCTAAAGTATTTGTTCTCTGAGAAGAGTATCACGAGTGACAACCGTTTCCAGATGAAAAGGTATACATTTTTTAGTGCTGAAGAATTCTGAAAGGTCATACACTTTGTGCATTTAAGTGCCCTGCCTTTGGCTATAAAACCCTCAAAAGTGCTCTGTGTTCTCGTTTCAGAAATTTAAAAAAGACACCAGCTCTTATTTTTGCCTTGAATGTTTCATGTCTGCCTTTGAAAGTTCTCACAGCTTCTCCCCTCTAATTAACCTCTTCTTTACATCAGGTCTTTAGAGCTAGTCCTTAAAAAAGAAAGTCTTTGGTTTTGAAATATTTGAAAACTTTTAATTTTTTTTACTCAGTTTCCTTCTCTGATACATTTTGTAGTTGACATAATTTTGGGGGTCATTTACAGAAAATGACTTAGAAGAAATTGACCTGAGCTACACTTGAGTGCATTCGGAAATAGGAAAAAAAAACAACTTAATTCTTGTTTTCACCTTCAAATTTAGTCATTCTTAAAACTACTTGTATATATTAGATATCTTCCACTTACTTTGAAGTTGTACTAAATAGAAATCTGCACAGGCCAATTATTCTACATTTAGTTTATATAAGCCTTAGCGAAAAATGTTTGGGTAGAATAAAGTTTAAGAATTTGAGATCCAGCAAACTTCTTTTTAACCCACTGCTTTCCTCACGAGCATTCCCAACACTGTTTCTTGTTAATTCTAAACGGCTTTACAAGTATTGACATTCAACTATAACTTTATAGGGTCCCCTACTCCCCTTCAAGGCTTTGTTTTCTGGGACTTAATTTCACCTTGACATTCTCAAATCATTGCCAGTTATTTTTAGTACTTGATCGATCTCTCTTCCTCAGGTATGTCTTTCCCAATTTAATGCGTCTGGTTGGATCAGATCTATTTGCATATCATGCCCATCCCAACTTCCATTCCCAAATAGAGTTCCTTTGTTTGGAATCCTGGACCACTCCCTCCTATCCCCACAGAATTATTTGGTTCAGCAACAGATTTTTATAGCTAAGTGGTTAAGAAACACTGATAATCCGGAGTATGAATTTCTTTACAGCCTTAAACAGGATGAGGTAGTTATATATAGTGGTATAGAAGCATGTGTTGTTAAGGGAAAAAAGCAAATCACAAAAACAGTTTGGTATCATCCTCGTTAAGTTAAAAAGAACAAATTCGTAAGTATATAATAATAGGTATGGACAGAGATGCATGAGGTTTTAAAAGGGGCTTGCTTCTGGGAAAGGAATGGGCTAAGAAGAAAGCCTTTCAGAAGAGAGCAGAGAAGAGGCTTTCACTTTTCTGTAGACATATGCAACATTTAGATCTTAAAATTTTTTATTTTTAAAAATTAGCAGCTAAAAATTTTTAATGTAATACTTTTAGGATTTTAAGAAAGTGCTCTCCTGGCACATCAGCTAGGCTGCTTACTGCCTAGTTGCAAACCTGCCAGAAAACCTTGGAACCTGTACCTCCTCTCATCTGAATTGTTCCAACAGTGCCTTCTCTGTGAACTTGTCTATGAGAAGTTCCAGTACGTCGCTCTTTAAATGTTGCTTCTTGGTCTTTCTCAGAAACCAGTATAATTTATAAGATCAATAGAAATTTATATCAGGGACCCTTTAAAAGAGTTCTTTCTGATTTGTCTCCTGTCCCTTGGTTACCTACCCTCTGTAGTGAATTATTCACCCTGATGCCTGCAGTAACGGGAATGGCATTACTTCAACTCTTTGCTGGTTTAGAATGCGCTCACTTTTAAAAAGCTATTTCCAGCTGAGTCCTTGCATCATGCTCCTACATATATTTCAGTAATGTTCATTTAAGTACAGCCTCCAAATTTTGAAGGCAGCCTGAATGTTTTGGGAGTTCCAGGAGCATTTGTAATTTTACTTGGCTCAGCCATTGCTGGCTTGGCGTCTGGAGAGAGATAATGTCTGTTGCTTCTCCTCTCTCTCCTCCCATCCCATCTTATCCTATCCCTCCTCTGTCTCTCACCCTCTCTATATAGATTAGAATTAGATTAGATATATGTAAAGACTTGCTATCCATCTATCTCTTTTATCCTGTTTTCCCCGCTATGAACAGTAATTAAACTGGGCAAATGTTTTAAAAGAATTTGCTGCAAATCTGTCCAAAATAATAGAAGTAACTTTTCTCTTCTAATCCCACCAAACTATACATTTTATTTATTCCTGAGCCGTTGCTCTATAAAGGAAGATTTAATTGTAAATAACCAATGTTGAGTAGAGACTATACATTAGTCTCTATTCCTTATGTGTCCATTTGCATCCTTATGGGTCCTAGTTTCCAGGTCTCGGCATAATTTTTTTTACTTTTATGCTACCAGCATCGTGTCAGCCTCCTGCTTCCAAATCTTTTCTTCTTTCTAGACCTAACCAAATTTTTCTCAGCTTAATGAAGAGCTGTTTCTATCATTAGGGGTTTTTTTTTTTTGGTTTTGTTTTTGGGTTTTGATGATGATAAACATATGTGGGATAAGAATGGCCATCCACGAATTTTGGGAGGACAGGGACTGTGTCTTGCTCTCCCAATGCCAGCATGGTGGGTGACACAAGGTGCTTGGTATTTCCAGACAAAGATAATTGGTACATCCTTATTCTTTGTAGCAGACTTGTATAACAAACTGATCATTGTCAAAATGTAACTTTGTGAAATATATATTTGCCTTTCTCAAAACAGTCTTGCTCACATAACAGAAAAATTTTGTAACTACTTGTATGATTTCTCTAAATTCTTAAGAGAGCCTCCAGTGGGAAACCTGCAGCTTGGATAATTTGGAACACGCTATCTATCCTTTTATTCTTCTTGATATTAAATGAATGCTATCACATTTGTATCATAACTTTTTTAACAACAAATATCTAAATAGATATTTTATTTGAAACATATTACATTTTTTCACACATGTATATTAAGAAAGAATTCATTTTCTTATCCACAAAAGGAGCCCTTGAAACAACTGTACACATTCTTCTAAGGTATTTTGTATAGATAGAACCACACGTGGTTTTTTAAGTAATCAGTGGCAATTTCTGTGGATTATTAGGATACAGTTTAGCAATCAACTTTATAATATGATAAAGAAAAGAATTATTAATTGTTAATTTTCTTATGCAGAGATACTTTTTTGTGTCGGAAACCTGTAAAAATAACCAGAGATGATTCCTCATTCTAATCCTAATGTCTACAAAATCATACTGGGAAAGTTTGAGTAATTGAGTTGCCAAGAATCTTTGATTCATTTTCCTTGTCGTTTCTCTTTTTCTTCTAGAAGTGCTGCTGGATGACCAGGATTCCCTGTAATTGATAATGTTGGAGATCAACTCAGCAACTTTTTTCAGCATTCAGTTGTTAAAAACAAATAGGATGCAAGTTCCTCAACTCCAGATTATGAAAACCAAACTTGGAAAACTGAAAACTATCTAAATGATTGTCTTTGGTTGGGCCGTGTTCTTAGCAAGCAGAAGCCTTGGCCAGGGTCTGCTATTGACTCTCGAGGAGCACATAGCCCACTTCCTGGGCACTCGAGGTGCCACTGCTGCCATGGGTAACTCCTGTATCTGCCGAGATGACAGTGGAGCAGAAGATAGTGTTGACATCCAGCAGCAACAGGCTGAGAACAGTGCAGTACCCACTGCTGACATGAGGAGCCAACCCCGGGACCCTGTTCGGCCACCAAGGAGGGGCCGAGGACCACATGAGCCAAGGAGAAAGAAACAAAATGTAGATGGGCTAGTGCTGGACACACTGGCAGTCATACGGACTCTTGTAGATAAGTAAGTACCTGACAGTCACCTGTGTAAGGAAAAGTGTTCTTCCAGGAACCACAACTTTTGGACTCCTTCAGTTCATAGGATATGCTTGCCAAGCCTTTTGCTCATAGGGCAAGGGAGAATACTTTATTTCGTCTCTGATGACAGACTAAATTATAAGGTTTAATGTTTTACTGCTCCTGTCTAGAAATGTCTAAACATTTCTGTAACATAAAACACTAATTCAGTCTGTGGTCTTTTAGAGAATATAGTAACGGTTGAGTTTGTGTTGCAGGCTACAATAGGAAACGGTTTCATGAAGATTCACTCTTATCTTGCTAGCCTATCTGCTCCACTGACCAGAGATTCAAGATGACTTGTCTTACCAAGAGCCCGGCTGCACGCAACTTGCGTTGGCAACACGAGAACATAGAACTAGTGGCGTTTTCATCCTCCCTCTTTTATCTCTCTTATTTGGCCCTCTTAGATCCTCTTGGGAAACTTGTAAATTGAAACTGCAGGGCACACCTGTACCTGTTGTGTTTTTATCCTCCACTTTGTCTAATTCTTAAGTACAAAATCCCAGATTGAATAACAGTGAAATTAAAAGGCATTGTTCAAACCGAAAAAAATATTTAAACTTAACTGTATAGTTCAATAGTTAGGAGCATGATGGACCAAGGTTCAAATTCTGGCCCAGCCCCATAATTAACTACATGACACTGGATAAATTACTTCTCTGAGCCTCAGATTTCTCATCTCTAATAGGGGAATAATATTTTTCTTACAGAGATTATCATGAGATAATACATATAAAGCATTTACTATAGTGCCTTATAACACTTGCTCAATAGATGATAATTATTTTACAAGTTATACCTGGGTTCTTTTTGTTTCAGGCTCTGATAGTAAATTTAAGTATCTAAATATTTGATAATCAACATATAAAAACCCCGTTTTGTTTAGCATTAAGCAAAGTATACCTGTGCATATTATTCTGAGGTGATTTTTTTCCCTCATAGAAATAAATCTGTTTTGCACATCTTTTTCTCTGTAGAAGATGCTGGGGAAAGTGGTTCTTACAAATATTCTTCATAACGAATTTGAGAGGCCTTACTAAGTTTATTAAAACCAGCCTTTATAGTAGTACTGGTATCTGAATTAATTTAATGTAATCATAATATACTTGTAGGTAATACCTAGTGAATATAAATCTGTGCCATTTACATTCCCCAAACTCAAGCAAAGGGCTAGAAGCTGTTATATAAGTTTCTTCATGGTGATATTTAAAACGTACTATAATACTGTAATGAAAAGTTGTCCTTCCCAAGTAAGGAAGTAAACCACAGTGTTATTTAAGCCTACTGGAAAAACGGGTACAGAATACACTTGGCCATATTTTTTTAAAAAGTGATTCAGAGAGTGTGGGGCAAGGTAGGAGGTTTATTTACAAGCTTTAGGAAAATATTACAAATTACAAGTAAATTTGTTGATAAAGCACATAATTCACTTACATGAGGCAATTGGTGTACATTTGAATAATAGGGCAACTTTTACCTTAAACCTGTTGGTACTGAATTATAACTCTTCTGAGAATGGAAGAATTAGACAGATGTAAAGCAAATGTGAAGGGACATGTTGGAGAATATAATGGCAAAACGGTTCAGACAGTTTATAAACATAGTTAACATAGCTTGTTTTTTAGAAACTAAAAAAGAATTTCATAACCTAAAAAGTTTATAAGGCTGTTGAAACTAAATATAACAGATAGATGGGCTTAGTAAAGCTATACCTAAAACAATGTATGCGGTTATAAAATCTGAATTTATTGTTCTCTCTCAGTGTTACTTACGAAAGGGTGTCATTGATCTGAAAGGAGAGCACAGCCCCTAATGTCATAGTGAGAGAGTTGCCACAGGAAGTACACTTTAAATACACTTACTCTAAAAACATTTTGAAGTTCTATTTGCATTTTTTTCGGTAGTGACTTTACCCTCAGATCGTTGACGTTGTTAACGTTATTTACTCTCATGCGCTTTGGCACTGTAACTTGCGACTCCTCTTGGTGGAAATTTTTTTCCCCACTTGTGTTTGTGTTTTCTGTCTCTCTCTGTCATTCATGTTTTCTCTCTCTCCCTATCTGATCTTTCACTTTTGTTGTTTCCATCTGGGTTCCAGGAACCTTCAGGTGATGACTGAACCTAAAATTGATGGTTGTGCGTTCCCATCCCACTGTAAGAAGCCCAGACCCTGCAGCATGGCTTTCTCTGCCTTGTTTTTGTCACTAGAGACTTACAGCTTTGTACCAGTGGTAGCTCAGATTATCATTCATAACTTTTTCAACTCCTTTCACTGAGAGGGGAACCCTGTCCCAGCTTCCCTTGCACAAGTTGGGTTTCGGTCCCCATTACCTACCTTGCAGTCATAGAGCTCCTGGTCACCTCTGTTGGTTCCTGACCCAGAGCCTGGTAGTCCTATGGCTTTAGCACTCACCTTCTACCAGAAATTTCTGCTGTTTCTGTTCCTCAAAACAGTTTATCATTTTTTCAGTGTAGGGATGTGTTTGTCGTTGAAGCGTATCTAAAGAGAATCGAGGTGCTCGTATTCCTTATTGGGTGCTGACCTTGTCATACTTTTGTTATGTTTCTCCTCTTTCCTGATTTTATCATCTTTACCACCCACCTCCAAATATCAGTGGGTAAACCATTCTAGTGAGTGTAAGTTATGTTCTTCCAATCTGCCTGCCATATGTTTGTTTATGTCTGTATATGAGTTTATATGTAGTGTTTTTTGTTAGTTTCAGAATTTACATAACCGATATAGTTACATAAATCTCTCTGTTTTTAACTTCTCTGAACATTACGTTTGAAACCTATATTGCTATATCTGAAGCTTCAACTCCTCTGACGTCTGCAAAGTGTTCCTTTGTATACTTGAAGGTACTATATTTTGTTATCCTATAATCTGCTGATGGTCGCTTAGGTGACTTCTACATTTTCGTTCCTACAGTTAGCACTGCAGCAAGTAGCCTCGTATGCGTCTATTCTGTGTCATAGTTTCTCTAGCATTGTTGAGTGTGTGCATACTTAATCTCATTATTGCCAGATTGCTCTCCAGAAATGTTCGTATCTATCCATTACATTGTTCAAAATAATTCTTTTAAATAAGAATTTCCCTTTATTATGAAAAGACACAGGATGTGAATAACCAGTACTTAATGAGTACCTGAAATGAACTTAGCAATTCCCATATCACAAGGTTATTCTGAGGATTAAATGATTGAAGAGACTAGTTTTACATTTTTTTCATAGTAAAACAGCCACAATATATAAACAAATAAATGGTGACACTATTCCTTAAATAGTTAGATTTAGCATTGTTTGCTGGAAAATATTTCATTTATTATTGAAATTTTCTAAAGCACTTAGGATTCTTGGGGTCACAGTTTGAAAACCCACCAAATTAAGGTATTTCGTGCTGTTTTAGAAGCGTCTAGAATATTAAATAGCTCCTTAAGTTTGGTTTCTTTTTCTTCTAACACCATATTTTGAAGTTTAAGCATAAACTGTTATTTCCCAGAAGAACACTTAAAAATAGAGATGTTTATGTAGGCCCTTGTTTCCATAAATCCTCAGCCGGGATCATTATCTCCCTTCTGCGCATTTCTTTGAGGTAAATATGAGGAAGGTAATGTTGACCTCCTTGGCATTGGCCCTCTAGAGGTAAAGGTGAATGCAGGCTTTGGTCTCCAGTTTTACCTCAGGCCACATGGTGGTCCTTTCGTGTGCCTTTCTGCCCGTTTTATTTGTGGGCATCATAGACACTGACCTTGGAAACGAGCACATGTGGTATGCATTTGTCCTTGCAGATTATAGCTCTGGTGGTCTCTTCCACCTCTTTCTCTGCATTCATCTGTGTTCATTTTTTATTTCTCTTTCTACCCCCATATTTTCAGTGTAAACTTTTTTTTTTGTAATTGTCATTTCTTGGTTCCTCAAATTTGATATCTCGATTGCTTGTTTTTCAGTGATCAGGAACCTCCATATTCGATGATTACATTGCACGAAATGGCAGAAACAGGTATTTTTAAAGTTTTTAAAAAATACTTCCAGATGAAGTAATAACTATAAAGAAATGTAGCCACTTTTTTTAATAAAAGATTTCAAAAGTACTTAATATACACAACAAAGAAAAAATCCCTTAGTGTGTGGAAATTTTCCTATACAAGGGTAATAATTAATAAGCACTATATATTGCATCCTGAATATGTAGCTGCACCTCTCAGTAATGGTTTTATCTCACTGAAATTATTACAAGAAAAATTTTTTGGTGTTGATAGATCTTTGATCATAACTCTTCTAGAATGAAGATAATTTTTGTCCTTTGGTTTCCTAAGTGTCATTCTGAACATAAAGCCAGCTGCTTCAGATACTTAATCTTCTCAGTTAACTCCTATGCCATAAGTAAAATGCTGAAAACTGTTTTAAATCATATTTTGAGAACCCAGAACCATAGCTTGAATTTTCTCTAAGATGCCCAGAAATCACCAGACTCCTGTGAGTTAGGATTCTTTGACTCTACCATGATGAGTAGCAACTGATGACTATGTCCATGCCAGATATTAGCTGCTTAAAATCTACAGGATGAAAGCCAAAAGGGTTTCTATTTTAATGTAAAGTCATTTTGTGTTGTAAGTTATATATTTTCACATTTTTAAAAATGGCTCATCGTATAATCTTCTCGACTTGCTCTTAGATGAAGGATGGTTGGATGTTGTCCAGTCTTTAATTAGAGTTATTCCATTGGAAGATCCTTTGGGACCAGCTGTTATAACATTGTTATTAGATGAATGTCCATTGCCCACTAAAGTAAGTTAATTCTTTTATGAAACTGTCATCTATGCTTAAAGATAGGATGAATCAAATACAGGATTATTTGATATTAATGCATTTCTTCTTCATACCTTTGGGTTCTGTTTTATTTAATATTAATTTCATTGTGTAAATTTGGTTTTTTATTACTAATGAAATGCTACATCCTCCTATCAGTAGCTTACTATAAAGTTTTAGTTTAAAATTTTTTGTGTTAAAAATTGAAGCATTTGTATCTGAAATGCAATCTTTGTTTGGAAACTAGAGGAGAATGTTAAGTTGCTAAGCTGGTTTTATTACCTTTCTTTGAATAATTTCCTCATAACAGAAGATTTTAAAACATTTTCTATTAAGAAAAACTATTATGCTGAAAGCCCTTTCGATTCTTACTCAAACATTAAAGATTAGTATAACCTTTATTATCTCTTACATAGAACAAAAGTATCAATATTTTCATTGCTTTAAGTCCATCTATTCAATGGACTTTTTCTTTTTTTTACAATTTTGGATTCTGGCATCTTTCATTAGTTTACACCTCAGACAGTTAGGTCCAAAATGGAAAAACATTATGTACAGAAGGAAAAAGTCTTGGCCTAGTCACTGATGAATAGACCTTTGCCTAGGCTTACACACGGTTTCTGTTATAATTTGCCTCAAAACTGGTGAGATTTGTTCTTGCTTCATAAAATATCATTTTTGAAGGTAACTTTTTACTTCAACATCACTAGACTGTATTGTTATAAATTATAGTGGCCTTTGGGTAGATTTAGTCTACCCAAATGATATAATGATTTAAGAATATATAGCATATGTTTGACACAACTGGTGCATTTTGAGTCAAATGGAATCTAGGAATTCATGTAAGAAAACTTTCAGGTTGATCAAATAATATTTCCCATCAATAATGGTATTATTGGGTACATTATATCATTTTCGTATGGTTATTCTGAGTCAATTTAACACATATAGCTTTTGTCTGAAAGAATTACCTTGGGGAAAAACCTAAGTAGTGTATTTATCAAATACACTTACTCATTTCTGTTTTTAGGATGCACTCCAGAAATTGACAGAAATTCTCAATTTAAATGGAGAAGTAGCTTGCCAGGACTCAGGTCATCCTGCCAAACACAGGAACACATCTGCCGTCCTGGGCTGCTTGGCTGAGAAGCTAGCAGGTAACTCTGGGAGGCGTCACCAAGGAGGATCTTAAGTCGGACACTAAGGGGGAGATAACACTACAGGTCTTTTGTCAAACCTGCTGTACCGGAAAGAACCGTCTCCCTCCACCCCCCTCCCCCCAAAATGAGCGACAGGTATAACAGGAAAAAAATTATTCAGAGGCCGCAGAAATAAATGTAATCTAATTGAGCTTTGAGCATTTTCAGAGGGAAATTTAAAAGGAAAAGTTTTACTTATTTGCTTTAAAATTAAGAATCGGAGAAAAGGCTAAACTCAGTATAACAAATAAGATTATGTATGTATGTATGTATGTATATAACATACATATAGGCACACACACCTTAAAACTCTTAACTAGGTAATAGAAACATACAAGGTAGGGGAAGAGAAAAAGGAACTTTAAATTGGAGCAATTCCTGAGAAGAGAAGTAGTTATTTAACTTGTTTATGAAGATTACCCATTTTAGGATAGTTCACATTAAAGAACCAGCGAGTAACTCAGCTAGTTATGTCATGCATGGTGGAAGAAACAGTGGATTAGAAATCAACATGTGGGTGCAGTTCGGACGCTGCCGTGTGCTCCCCAAGTGCCCCCCAAGTGCCCTGGAGTAAGTCGCTTCACTCCAGGGCTCAGCTGCTCTACTGTGAAATGGGGATAGTACTATTCTCTACCTCAGAGGCTTGATAAGATAATATGCAGGAGAGTACTTTGTAAAAGAGTTCTATCAAAACAATTTTATTATTAGTTACTAATTAAAAATAATGTGACACATTTAATTATATCCGGTGTTTGTTGTATTCGTCTAGGTCCTGCAAGTATAGGTTTACTTAGCCCAGGAATACTGGAATATTTGCTACAGTGTCTGGTAAGTGAGACATCAAAGCTAGTTATTCTTAGTCATCTAGAATTGTTCATTTTTCTAAAATTGCCAGCTTAGCCACTAGCACAGAGAATGGAATCAGTTATAAATTTTATTTGCAGGTGTTTCCTGAGTGTTTGTTCCCTCCTATGTTAAAAAAAAAAAAAAAATGAGGGTGGGATAGGAATTTATTACAAGCAAAAACAGCAGCTGTGTTGGTCTGGTTTTAAATTTAGTTATAAGATAGCAGCTACGATTGGCTTTTTTGTGTGTGTCCTTAGAGTCTGCCAAATGGTAGTAAGGACCTCCCCAGTGGAAACAAAATTACATGGCATTCCAAGCCAGGAAACCATCAGGTCAGATTCCCGGTGTCTGTAAAGCTCTAACCCTCCCTCCCTCCTTCTTCGTTGCTGCTCTTAAAACTGTTGAAGATTTGATATATTGTCTGTGAAGCTTGTGGTTTGCTGTGGCTATGTTGTCAGATCTCTCACATTGTTGGACTACACAATCTTGACTGGTCTGTATTTTTTAAAGTTATTTTTGCAGGCCTAGTGAGCATTGGACTTTTTCAAAATCTGAAAGACCTTATTTTTCAGTACTTATATGATGTGTACTTCAAACATTTAACACTATGTTACAAAGCATTCTGGGGTACAGAAGTAGTATAACAGTCTTTTGCCCTCAAGAAGTTTCCTGATTAGTTGCAGAAATGGAACTACTCAGACATGACAGCCTCCATTTTATGACAGGATGTGATCAAGGGCACAGTCCTTCAGACTGAGTGCCGTGAGAGTTCTGAGAAGGTGATGGGGAGGTACAAAGTATAGGTGGTGAGAGCTGGGTGAGTGGGAGGTGGGAGGTATGGGTGGTGAGAGCTGGGAGAGTCATAAAAGATTTCTTGAAGGTGGAACCTCAGCTGTGTCACACCATAAGATTAGGATTTGATTGTGCTCGCAGGAGGAAAAGATGGGTTTCTTAGCTAAGGGCATATCACTGGCAGAAGCTCAGAAATAGACATGACCTTGTTCCTGGCGTATTACAGAGAATTGTCTGATCAGAAGATAGTGTTCAGAGACAGGAGGAGAGGGCTCAGGGCGTGAAAAGCCAGACAGTGGGATCGAGAATGGATATGGCAAGAATCAGGGTACTTGCTGAACAGGCTTTGCTGCGGGGAGGATGGTGGTTATGTGAGCTTTGCAGAGCTTAGTTGGGCACCGGGGAAGTGAATGGAATCGTCTGATGACGTAGAGCTCCTTTGCAGGCTCCTAACGTAGCTGTGCGAAAGGGTGGCTGTGGGAAGATGTGATGTTAAGCAGATCTTTCTTTAAATGTAAACACATGTGACACGAACTTAAATGTGACTGAAAGAGCTCACTTGCTTTCTCCCATCTACCATCAGCATTTATGGACTTACTTTCAGAGAACAGATTAAAAACTAAGCCATTAGTTGTTAATTGCATTATTTTGGAACACTTGATGAATACTTCCTTTTAGGGTTCTGAATAAAAAGTCATTTTTTGCTACAATTCTAGGTTTCTGTTTGGCTTGCTTCAGTGAATATAAGAATCAGCGTTATTTAACCAAGCCCTAATATAAATGTTACTAAGTAAAATAACAGTGTATTTAACAGGATACTTTTGAAATTTCCACATCTATAAATGAGCCCAATAACCTCAAGAAAATAACATAAGATTTGAAGAGACTCTATCTTGGTTCTTCATTACTAACAATATAAGCAGGTGGATAATCGAGACTTGCATGAGTAAAACTTTTCTGACTGCTCCAACAAAAACCTAGCACATGTATTGGGTAAGAAGAGGAAGTTGATAACTTGCCGCCTCTGCAGGGGAATGATGTTTTTGTTTTTTGTTTTTTTATCTTTTGTTGTCTTTCAGAAGTTACAGTCCCACCCCACAGTCATGCTTTTTGCACTTATCGCACTGGAAAAGTTTGCACAGACAAGTAGGTATAGTGACTTCTTGCACTAATGATCTTATGTATCGGTTGTTAAAAATCTTATTTTTCTTAGTTACTGGATGAGTTTACGCTTTGAACCCCATCAGACATGCATACATTCCGTTTTTGTCTGTGTAGACAACTCAAGGCCAGTGAGATGCAACAGGGACAAAGGCAAGAGTTTGCTCACCTAAGAATCAAAACTCGGTGACAGTGATTATCCACTTTTTATAGCTAAAAATTTAGTGATGAGGTTGCTACTATCTAGAAAATATCAGAGCTCTTGGGCTCTGTCCTTATTCTAGTTTCCAAGTTCTCCAATTGCCTCTCCTCACTCTTT